TAGGTTGCGTCTCTATTCCTTGCTCTTCTTTTCTATTGACCAGGAGTGCCTCTGTCTTATCTGAATTAACTTTCATTTTAGTCATCCTTATCAAGTCCATTTCTGACACCAGCCACTGATCTAGAGCCAAAACAGCTGATTTGTTTCCAGGCGCAACATCCAAAGTGCTGGATTTAGATCGTAGGGAGATACAAATGTGTTGACACCAAACCCCAAAACTCTGGACAACCTCTCCCAGCAATTTCCGGTAAATCACATGTATGTATTTTAATGGGTCAGAGACCGCAAAATAAAGATTGATTGATTGAATTTCCTGTAAATATTAAATAGCTTAGGAAACAAAACAGAACCTTGAGGATCCCAAAGGTCAATGGCCAGGGTGTCGAACAGGAGTCTCCCAGCACCATCTTCTGAGTTCTTCCTCTCCAGGAAGGACCGGAGTCACTGTAAATTGGTGCCTCCAAGTCCCGTCACAGAGAGATGGCCCAAAAAGATACTATGATTAATGGCATTGAAAAATGGTGACAGGTCCAGCAGAACTAATAAGGACACATTCCCACTGTCCAGTTCCTGGCAGAGGTCATCCACCAAAATGACCAAAGCATCCCATAACCAGGTCGGAAGCCAGATTGGACTGGACGGGTTCAGTGACTATCTTGCTCTACTAATGGCTGGAGTTGAACTGAGGTATCTTAATGTTACTGGTCCAGGACTGTTCCATCCATCTTTTCTTCTATTGGGTCCAGTATTTCGAGGAGCTGCCTGTCTTCCATTTTGATCTTCCCATTTCGTTTGATTAAGCAAAGCTGCGGTGTTCTCATGGTGCAAAGGACGGACAAGCTGTATTAATGATGTTTTGGAAAAGAAAGCTATTTGGAGACAACAGAAGTGCTTATCAAATGCTGCTAACAAGCTTATTTAAACTTTAGCTATGCATACCTGAGCTTATCACTGAAAAGAGAGTCGTTCACACACTGTATTGCTCTCGGAAGCATAATGAAAAAATGAAGTATTACCTAGTGCAACTTATTGGTGCAAACAGCAAAAATCCAGGCCACCACTGAAACCTGGGCATCCAGGCTCAGCAACAATTCTAGAAGCACATTCAAGCTGCCTACCTGGTGTTTTCAGAGGGAGTGTAACTCCATCCAGATTCTTTGTATCACTCAACAGGGGTTCGGACTTTTTGTACTGACATGTGAGCCATAGTGTCACCTCTTCCAGTATTAAGTGCCTGGGTAAATTACTCAATAAATGTACCTCCTTGTAAGTAAACTGGAGCTTGCCTGTTGTGTCCTTGGGTTCCTCTCAAATCCTGCTTCCACAGCTGTGGTGGAGGGGACAATACACCTTCCCACAAGTAGGATAACTTAAAGGATCAACTACTTGACTTGAACCTTCTCCAAGTGCTCCTGCTGTGCCAAGTTCTGACACTAGCATAATGAGTCCTAGGACTGTGGAGCACCTAGAGAAAGGTGATCCATTCAAGTACCATGGCCAGGCTTATGACATGTCTTAGGTTTTTGCCAGCCTGGAGGTCTCACGTTCGTAAGTGTCAGTTCTGTCCAGTTCTGGTACATCAGGTCTAGCTGACTCAGCGGTGGGCAGACCCTATGAGAGAGGGCAGCAAAGCAAGCCCGTCAACTCCTGGTGAGGGGCATTCACCTAAGACAAATGTCAAGTTTCATGCAATCTATGAATACATTTTTACATTAAAATGCTGTTTACCCCTCTTCCCAAGGCAGGAGGGGGAATCACCCTATGAAATGGTCTGGGCCTCATTTGGGTTTTTGGAGGGTCTATGGAGGTGACCTGCAAAACGTGTCCTCTCTCTCTCTCTCTCTCTCTCTCACACACACACACACACACACACACACACACACACACACTCTCTCTCTCTGTGTCCACACACACACACACACACACACACACACACACACACACACACACACACACACACACACACACACACACACACACACACACACACACCCCTTAATAACAGATTGGATCCACGCTAGCTCCTTAGCTCAGGTGATTTCCTTCTCCTGTAGCTGCTTATACAGTATCTTCAAATAAGCTTCTCTCAAATCCTTCAAAGCAATACACAGGAAACGAAAATTTCTTCCATCGTCCCAGTTCCTCTAGCAGAAAGCTTATTAATACAACATTATCCTGGTGTCCTCTGTGCAGCAGTGTGCAGGTGTCAGTAGAACACTGCTCAGCTCTGTGTTCAGGCTGTGACCAACCTAGCCCCAACATAATAACTTTTAATAATTAAACACATAATTTGGTTTGCTCACCCTTTTTTTTTTTTACAACAACCTATTCAAGCATTTCACCATCTGAATAAAAATAACAAGAACGTATTGCATCTTTAGTCAGGGAATACAAGACTGTTATTAACACAAAAAGACATCATACTATAAGCTTGTTTAAGCTTTATGTTGAGCTTCAGAATTATCTGGAAATATACTTATTCGTAAAGCTGAGCTAAGATTATGGTAGCATCTGTCACATTCCTTTGGTCTGCTTATTCAGACACAAAATTTGGTCATTAGCTGGATTTGTTCCTCCCCCCTCCGTTTACTCCATGTTCGAATTCTTATTGCAGAAAGGTGCATTATTCCTGTGTTACAACCATAAATTAAATCAGAATCCCTCCCTCTTCCATGTTTGGTAATGGTCTACAGTTTCAGTTTAAACCTGCTTCTTTTTGTTCATTTTCCACTAGCGTTTGCATATCATCATGGCTATTCTTACTTTGGATGTGACAGCTCTGAACAGTGAAGTTATGTTGTAGCCATATCAGTCTCCAAGGGATTTCAGTTGAAAGCAGAGCAGAACATTTTTGTAGAAGGCACTTTCCTGCTACAGGTTTCCATCAAATACTGTAGGTTATTCCTTACGGAACTTCTTTTCCCATTTATTTTACTTTCAATTACTAGTCTAACAATCTGAACTTTGTATTTTTTCATTATTAGACAAAAATATTCTAGCTTTCTGCATTTTCACATCTTATGATTTCTTGATTTTTATTCATTCATCTTAGTATTTCTTCATTGATCCACCTCTTGATCCAAGAAATTCTTAGTATCTTCAAATACATCCACATTTCAAATGCTTCTTTTTATACGTTAGGCAAAAACAAAATAAATAAATAAATAATAAAGAACACAAAAATGTTGGGGCACCTTAAAGGCTAACTGCTATATTCCAATGTTAGCTTTCATGGACAAGTCCACGTCTTCAGACACTATCTTTTTAATAGTGCCCTATTAATGTCCACAGTTCCATGCCATACAGTAGAACCAATATTATGTGTGTACCATGCCGTGTGGTTTCAAAAACCCAGTTTAAGATTTTGTTGCATATTACATGCTTCATTGAAAAAAGGTTGCTCTAGGGCATCTCTATTCTGACTTTTATTACATGACTAATTTAATAAACCTCCAAGGTACTTGTATTCGTCTGGATGTTCCACACTTTCCCTTTGGATCATTAGCTTCATTTCTTGAGCTGCTTGATCTTTACTGATAACCATGAAATCAGTTTTCTTAACGTTGATTTTTGGATAAAGTTTATTACTTGTGTCATTTACCTTACTAAGGAACCTTTGTATTTTAATCAGAATACTGAAAAAGTATAATGAAAAACAATGTCTCTGATATGAATGAGAGACACTTTTTATGGATTCTAAAGAAATTATTCCTATAAAAACGTAAAACTGGGTTTGTGAAGGCACAAGGGATGGTGCACAAAGAACAGCAAACTTGATCTCCCAGGTTCCAGATAATCCATCAAATTTTTCACAGCAGATATTGTAAGAGTGATGCCATCTAGTGGACACAGGGATTAGAGAGTCTCAAATACTGTACAAATACACTTGACATCTCAAACCGAAATATTTGGCCAGGGATATCTGGCTGTGACACAGCTGTGACATCACTACCATCCTGCTGTATCCCAAATTTGGTGCAGAGCTGATCCTAGAAAGAAATCATCCAAAGCAGCTGTTTTTGGTAAGAGATTCTGGACTGAATTCATTTTCTGTCTCGAATTTTCAAACATCTATATCTAGTTAATGAAATAATAAGATCTGGGCCCTGATCAGGTGGGTCTGTTGTAAGTGAATTCTGGGCTTTTCTTTTAAACACAAAAATATGCAAATTGCAATCCGACACATGCCTATGCAGCACTGAGTTCACTGAAAAACCTACAGTTTAGCAGATGAGGCGAGTGCAGAACAGGAAGAGGGCATATCCTACCTGCGCTGTGTCCTCATTCGGCTGGAGAGCTTTTTTATAACACATAAGTAACTACTTAAAATCCAGGACGTTGTTGAATAAAACTAAGTTCTAGTATCTTTTCTAGAAAGCTGTTGCATGTATCTCTGGTTTGCAACCTAGAATATTGTGTGGAACACTAAGTTCAAATTCAGCCATGCTTTCTATGATTGATGGAGAAAGGTCAAATTAGTCAGAAATGTGTCTTTGCCTTAGCCCTGCCCCACAGCACCTGTCCTCTACCCCCAGCTAGAATGTGACCCACCTGAATACCTCTTCCAAATGGAATTCAGCCACCAGTGTGGAAAAGATTTCTCCTTCTGGGTGGTGTAGAATTGCAGCCTACCTCTTGTTTGGGAGTATTATATTGAGGTACTGTTGGTACTCCCAACTTTACATGTAACATTAATCCTTGAATTATTGTGGTACGATACTTCCAGAATGGCTGCTTTATGCAGCTCTGTATACATGTAGGGGTTGTTTCCACTTTTCCATGGCAGCAAATCTTAGATTGGATGCCTCATGTACATCCCTACATCCCCTAAAACAGGTGGAGAATATTCAAGAATTCCTTCTGTGATGAAGAAATGGAGATGAGGAGGTGAATAGTTCAGGTTATGCATAAGATGCACATTCACGCCAACTGCTCAAGAAGCAAAACTTTGAATGTTTCTTGTTTAAATATATTTATTTAGATAAGTACATTGGTAAACAAATGGAACTTTACAGAACAACGTTAGCAGAGACACAAAGTTCCCTGTCTCAAAGGGTTTTAAAATTAAATCCAGACAGTTTGGGTAAACAATTTAAGTAAACAAGGCAAGGAGAGTGACAAGAGCAGATCAGCAGAGATCAAGAAAGAATCAGAAGAACAAGGTATTCCATTTGGTTTGTGCATTCTTATATTTCTAATGATCCCCTATCATGAAGGTTTAGGGCAGACAGCATCAGCTTGTCCACAAAATGCAAAATCATTTAGCATTTTATAAAGCAGCAGTAAGCAGAACATGGATGTGAGATCTAGCAATAGATTTTAGACAGAATTTAGGAAGTTACTTTTTTGGATTACAACTTCCAGAAATCTCCCAACCCCACATGACTGGTGTCCGGATGGAAGATACAAGGGGTTATAGTGCAGAAAAAGATAACTTTCCCCAAGATTTAACCTCTGAGTGATTTACAGTAGATATACAGATAAAGAGAGCAACAATAAAAAAAGTAAAACATTGACAACAATAAAAATACTAGGCTGCTGAAATAAAGAAATGCTAATAACCAATATTAAAAAAATCTCAAAGATATAAAATTTGTAGCAATCAGACTTTTACAGATTTCATGAATAAAGTAAAGCCAATATTAATCCCAATCTAGAGCAAACCCATTGAATTGAATGATATTTGCTAGTAACAACTGATTTACATCCTTTGATGCCAATAGGTCTACTTGGTTCCCAATCTTGAGCAACCCAGGTGTTCTTGAAGTGCAGCTCCCAGAATCCTTCCCCAGTAGCTGTGCTGGCCAGGGTTTCTGGGATTTGCAGTCCAAAAACACCTGGGTTACCCAAGCTTTGGAACCATTGGTCTACTTTATATAGCAGTAACATTAGATTTGGTCCAATATAGTGTTCGATTTTCATCTTGACCATATGAAACGAAAGGGATTGCATAAGATATGAAATGTTTCAGAAGCGATCCTTTTTAAAAATGACAATAACATCCCATGAGTTTTCAATGGACCAATGAGCACAGCTGGTTTAATGACTCCAATGTTTAGTGAATTAATTGGTTAAGATTGCAATTATATACACTCTCAGCTGGGAACTCATCTCTGACTAAACATGCTGTGTGTGAAATTCTGCTATATACTTACCTGCCAATAATCCTTGTTGGACATAACAGGTCTTATTTCTGAATAAGCATGCATAGTCCTATACCATAAATCAATGAATTTAAAAATATACCCATCACTATATAAAGCCTGCCTAATAAACCGGGAGGCAGTGGAAGATAGGAGGGCCTGGCGTGCTCTGGTCCATGGGGTCACGAAGAGTCGGACACGACTAAACAACTAAACGAAAATAAACCAGGCAGCGGTCTGTGCCTTTTAAAATTTATTTTCAGTGTAAATACCTATCAAAATGGCAGATGGAAAGTAAAAGAGGCATCTTAGAGCAGCCCAGGGATGTTGTCAAGTATTTGGGTCCAAGTCCCAACTTCAAGCGTGAGTCTTTGTTACCAAGTCCCAAGTGTGAGTCCCTATTAAAAACAAGGTTTTTTTCCCCAGAAAAAGGGAGGGGTGTGTGGGGAAGCCTGAAGCTTATGAACCTTCCCCTCCACTTTTGAACCCATCTGCCCTGCCTGCCTCACCTTCATTCACCCCTCCACCCCCCCAACCCTCTTGAAAACCCTTCCTCCCTGTTGCAACAACCAGTGGCTACCATTTGCCTGCCTCTCCTGTGTCTTCTGGTGAACACTGCACAGCTTCTTTCAGTTTATGGTATATTTCATTAAAAGAAAAAGGACTTGAAAATACGACTCGGAAAAATGGGTCTGAGTCACCAGTTGAGTCTGAGTCACTGAAAAAAAACAACACTATGAGTTTCATCCAAGTCAAGTTGCTGGTGTGACTAAAGTCTGACTTGACAGCGAATCACACAGCTTGGGTCCCCAACCCTGGAGGAACCCCATAAACTAAAAGACAAAATGCTAAATGATGGCTACTATGAAGAGAGAACATTGGCTGCACCAGCCTGGGGAAACTTTGTCCCTTGAGATGTTAGGGACTGCATTGTTCCGAAATCCTGGCCAGCATGACCAAAAGTAAGGAATTTGGGAATTATAGTTGGAAAGAATTGGAGTGTAGAAGATTTCTCAACCCTGTTACAAACGATGCTCATTTGTCAGAACAGCCATCATGTAAGAAAAAATGTATCACCTTCTCCTTCATGGATGTTTCTTCTGAGATATATTGCTATCCTTTCCCCCCCTCCCCGTATCCCGAGACTATTATTAAAGGATTATATGATAACCTATGCAGATTTGATTGATGACTCAATTGACTAAGGTTTCTTTAATCAGGTGACAGCTCAGCTTAGCTCATTCATAACTTCAGGAGACATTGGCTTGGATCCAAACTACGACTTGTACAAAGAGGCTTTCTCAGAGCTTGGGGAAAAATTGGTTGAGGGGGAGGTTAGATAACAATTTTCAGCATCTCCCAGCCAGCAGAATCAATAATCATTTCGGATAGGGGATTCTGGAAGGTGTCGTACCAAAAAGCATATTTTCTGAGAACTGGGCCCTGCCATGCAGCTCCTCACTTATAAGGAGCAGATTTTCAGGGGCTGGGGGTACTGCAATGGAGAAAAGAGACACGAAACTCCATCTGTATGAATAGCTTTTCCCTAGTGCTGTGCTGGATCCTAGCCATGTTCATTTCCAGTTAATATGGAAGAAAACAAATCTTTGTCCTTAGTCAGATTTATAACTAGCAGGTGAAACCTCTAGGAGCAGCTGTAGATAGCAAGTAATGTTGTCAACAAACCTGAAATGTATTTTAAAATGTACAAAAGGCAGATAAAACAGAAGACTTCCAAGCATGAAAAGGGAAGCGTAGATGTACTGCACCTTTGGAGACCAGACAATGGGAGCCAAAACTAAGAATAATGAAACTGCCACCATTGCAAAAGCAACTGGTAAAAACACCTGCAAGAAATGAAACAGAGGTTTGAGAAGGAACAAACCAGCATGGAGTAAATATGAAAAAAATAAAACACTTTTTTTTTCATCTTCTGAGCACAGCTCACATGACCAACAATTTATTTTGGGATGTAAGTGGCAAGAATTGAAAGAGCTTTAGGCAAAACCTCTCTGGAAATGCATGATATAAGCCAGTGGTTCTTAACCTTTGTTACTCGGATGCTTTTGAACTGCAACTCCCAGAAACCCCAGTCAGGACAGCTGGTGGTGAAGGCTTCTGGGAGTTGCAGTCCAAAACTCCTGAGTAACACAAGGCTAAGAACCAGTGATATAAGCCATTTTCTCCAGACTTTCAGGCTGCTTTCCAACTGGTGATCACCATGTACGGTACAAGGAACCACTCAGTGGCCGGAATCCTCTTGCTTAGTGTTGCAAATCACAACGAGAGCAAGTTGATTTGAATCAATTGAAGTTACAGAGGAGCTGATACATCAAATCTTCACTGATTTTAATAGTATATTTGTGTTTTTTTAAAATATAGTAATCATGTATTGTTTTCAGCATTTACATTGTTCATTTTTAATACTCTACGCCACCTTTGATCCTTTTAGGAAAAAATCAGGGTTGGACCAATGGTTTGACCAAGTGTAAAGCAGTGTTATTCCATTGATATCAAAGGAGCTCGGCTTCCTTAAGTACAGTAGATACCTCACATTCATGGATGATTTGTCTCACAAGATATAAGGGAATTTGAGATGAGCACAAACTGCCAATTTGGCAGTTCATGCATTTTGTCTAGCAGCCAAATGCTTCAAAACCCCATCTCCTCCGGCCAGCGCCCACTTGGAGGCAGTGAGCCAGCTTCCCTGACTCGCCTCCTCTGAGCGCTGCCTCTGAGTGGGCACTCACTGGAGGAGGCGGGGCTTTGAAGCGCCAAACACCTGTCCAGCTCTTAAATGAATTGGCACAAACCACTGACCCTGTGATTCATGCCCATCTCTAGGGAACCCTTTAAAAAGAATGGAAGAGTGTGAGAGAAGTGAGGAAGGGTGAGAGGAGGAGGTAAATGCATGTCTGCACTGCAGGCTTGGGTCACAGCAGTGACTGCACGTGACTGAAACCACAGACACTGCAGAGGTGGGTGGGGGAGGACTACAGTAACAAAAGTGGTCATATCATTCAAAGCATAAATGGGCAAAGTGCAGTTGGCAAACCATGTCAGGCCCCCAGCAGCCTTGGGCCTTCCCAGCTCCCCACCTCTCCAGAATGTCATCTTAAAAAAATAAATTAAAAAAGCACCTTAAACCCTCCTTTGTTCAACCCTCCTTCATACTTCCCCCCCCCTTGAGTCATTTTAGGTTGTGTGTGTGTGTGCCTTTTTAAAGTCAGAAGTTGTTTATGTTGTGTTAAGAGTGACCATCTAACAACTTAAGAAAAGGTAGAGGCAGCCAAAAATATAGCAAAATTGCTTTCTGTGGTTACTAAAAGATAGGAGGGTTTTCCAATGAAAGTGAATAACCTCTGAGGGGATTGTGGAAACAAGTGCAGCTTTTGTCCACCCTCAGTTAAAAGCACACATAGGCCCACATACTATTTATAGTGTGATGCTTCTGGGTAACTTTGCTGTGTATTTTAATTTGTTTTCATTTTAAAAAAATTACCTTGTACGGCCGGTGCAGATCAGGCTCCCGGTACCGAAGGACTATCAGGCTGGAGCATGTTAATCCAATCATGAGCCAAACAGAGAATCCAAAATAATTGGTTAGAGCAATAAGATCTGATGGGATGATGAAAATGGATGCTATAACAGTTGAGAAAATCATGGCTGGTGATGGAGTGTGGTACTGGATGTTGATCATGGATATTATGCTGGGCAAGTGTCCGGACTGACTCCCAGCGTAGCTCAGTCGTCCTAGTGTAAACATGCTGCTGTTGAGGGCACCAAATATTGAAATGGCCACGGAAAGAGGAATCATCCAAGCCACTGAAGGGATCACTCTATTAGCCCAAGTAACGGCTACAGCAACTGCAAGGAAACATCAGGGCCAATAACCAACAAATGGAAATGGCTTAACCATCTTTAGCAATGCATGTCTAAAACACTGAGGTGAGAACTATAGTCTGGCACACGTGTTCTAGCAGACATTGAATTAAAAGGAGAGTTTAGCTCTAGAACCTTAAAACAAAGTGTTTTGGGTTCCAGCTGTTGGGCAGGCCCTGAACATCAAGCATATCTGGAAAAAAAAAAGACATGATAAGATGATTTTACCTGATACTGCCTACAATCTAGCCAGGAAGATGATATGAGTGGAATGGAATTTTGTACCTCCTCTTTCTCCATATTTTTTTCCCAATAGGAATTAAGTTGAGCAGAATTCACTGAAGAAATCAATTCTGGCTGTTAATCAGTATTAAAAGAAGTTTAATTAATTTATTTTTAGCTGGCTGGATAGCTCAGTGGCTTAGGTATCTGGCTGCACAGCCAGAGGTTGGGAGTTCAATTCCCCACTGTGCCTCCTGGGAGTAGAGCCAGCCTGGGTGGCCTTGGGCAAGCTTCCAGGATGCCCCCAAAAGAAGAGAATGGTAAACCACTTCTGAGTATTCTCTATCTGGAAAATCCTGAAAAGGGTCACCATATGTCAGAATTCACTTGACAGCACATGATGATGATGATGATGATGATGATGATTAACTAATTTCAACTGCTTTATTCTAGTTAAGACTAACATTGGATTTTGCTCAAATTAATTCCAGCATTTTAAAGAAGAAACAAAAATTTTAATAAAGAACAGACACATAATGCCCTTCATTTTCTGTCTGTTTCCTGGCCACAACAGCCTTTGTTCTTTTTTAGAATTCTCCTTGGGAATGGACTTTCTCTCCCCACCCCACCCCCTGCAAATGGGGTCTCTCTCTCTCTCTCTCTCTCTCTCTCTCTCTCTCTGTTTTTCTCTCTTTGGTATACTCACTATCACAGATATTTAAATGAATTTATTATGGTCAACATCTGGCTTCAGTTTGGTTTAGGCCCTAGTTTATCTTAGCCTTCTTCAGTGAATCCTGTGTTGAATTTATTGCAAGTGTTATGAGTCTTTTTATTGAATCAAGAATGTAAAGCAGCAATCATACCTGAGGAGACAATTTCCTTTGGTGTGAGAACTGTTAAGTACGAAATGTTTACCAGCAAATAAAACACAGTTACTGAAGGAACTGCAGTCATCACAGTCCACGGAATGTTTCTGCTAGGGTTTTTCAGCTCCTCTGGAAAACATAATGTACAAGTCACTTCAGCACACCTATACAGTATTTAAATACATAAAATAGACATAATTCTATTATGCGCCATGGTACAGAAACGGCATTGGTCGCCCTGTGTGATGACCTGTTGAGGGAGGCTGACAGGGGCAAAGTGTCTCTGCTGGTCCTCGACATCTCAGCGGCCTTTGATACCATTGATCACGGTATCCTCCTGGGGAGGCTCTCCAAGCTGGGAATCGGTGGCCTGGCACTGGCCTGGCTCCGTTCCTTCTTGGAGGACCGTCCCCAGAGAGTGCAGCTTGGGGAGAGTATTTCGGCCCCATGGAGTCTCAATTGTGGGGTTCCACAGGGGTCGATTATCTCCCCAATGCTGTTCAACATCTACATGAGGCCGCGGGGTGGGGTCATGAGGGGGTGTGGAGCCTTGTGTCATCAGTATGCTGATGACACTCAGCTCTACATCTCCCTTTCACCAACTGCAGGAGATACCGTTCTGTCCCTTCAGCGCTGCCTGGGGACTGTACTGCAGTGGATGCAGGAGAATGGGCTGAGGCTGTACCTGGACAAGACGGAGGTACTGAGGGTGGGCGCCCCCACAGTTGGGGATTTGGGAAACTCCCTCTCTTTTGGGGGGGGGTGACTCTGCCCACCAAGGATGGGGTCTGCAGCTTGGGGATCCATCTGGACCCGGCGCTCACTATGGAATCTCAGGTGGCATCCATGGTCCACGCCCCCACAGTTGGGGATTTGGGAAACTCCCTCTCTTTTGGGGGGGGGTGACTCTGCCCACCAAGGATGGGGTCTGCAGCTTGGGGATCCATCTGGACCCGGCACTCACTATGGAATCTCAGGTGGCGTCTGTGGTCCACTCCGCCTTTTTTCACCTTAAGCGGATAGCCCAGCTGCAGTCCTACCTTGATGTTGGGGCACTCACTACCTTGGTGCATGCGCTCATAATCTCAAGATTAGACCACTGTAATGCACTCTACGTGGGGCTGCCTTTGAGGCTGCTGCGGAAACTACAGGTGGTGCAGAATGCGGCAGCCAGACTACTTAGTGGAGTGAAAAAA